TATATATATATATATATATATATATATATATATATATATATATATATATATATATATATATATATATATATATATATATATAGGGAATAGGCAATCAGGGAGACTGCTTAAAGGGAAGCCCAGTTCAAGAGCTCCTTCATGTGTAGGATCTGGAGAAGGGTTGGACCATTAAGGCCATGAGTACAGTCTTACAGAGTAGAGTGCCCAATTCAGGGAAACAAAATGGAGTCTTTAAGAAAGCAACTCAAATGAAAATCGAGGAAAAAACTTTACCTAGGTTGTTGTGGCCCCAAAGAAAAAAATGTGTAGATATTATGCCATATTTTATACTTGCACAAGATTCGTATAAAATGTACAGACAGTAGTTTAAATCTATATACAGTTACATAATATTGCCATGTAAAGATCAACTATATGCACACCATCTACACTATGTTTGGTTCAAGCAATTTGAAGGGGAAGAGAAAACAAAATGAGATGGAAAACAATTTTTTTGGTTTGGTTGGAGAGGAAAAGAAAATAAGGAGGCAAAATGAACTAAGGGTATAGAAAATAAAATTCTTCCCATTTTGGTGAGGAAAATGAGAGAAAACCATTTTCTTTTCTTGTTCTTCCTAATTCCTTGAACCAAACATAGTGTTAGAAATACAACTGCTATAAAAGAAATGAAAATTTGAACTTGAAATGAAACAAAAGTGAATAATAGTTTTCACACGATGACTCTGATCAAGTCTAGTAGCATGAAGCAACAACACTCATAATATTCCAATACTCCTTGTGAGCGAAATGTGTTTTCCAACGCTACTTGGGTTTAAGTTAGAATTCAGGGACATTATTTCTATCCACAACAATACAGCAAATAAGATGAACTATCTGAAAAGCAATGCTTGCACTTGTACAGAGAAATAAATAAAAGTATTTCTTCCCATTCAAATCCTTCACTGATCTCCATCTAAGTGCATACCAAACAAGTTTAATCGATCATCGGCATGACCTCTGTGACTTCAATTTTACATCTTCTCATGGATAAACCGGCGCCAATGCCGAAAAGAGAGCAAAAAGATAAATCCAAATGGGGGATTAAGCAATTCAATCATGAAGCATTATAGCGGCGATTGGGATTTGGAAACAAAAGTTTTTTTTGGATCAAGGAAGAGAAACGAAAATCTCACATGATGGAGCTTGGAGAATCTCGGATCTGATGAGCTTGATGAGAGATCGGAGTGCGGGGCTAATCCGATCTCGTGTCCTGCACAGAGCTGTTAGGTCACTGGAATGACAAAAAGAATTGTGCGCGCTGTCGTGTCTTCCTAAAATTTGTATTTCTTGCGGGTAGCTGAGATGCTCGGGAAGAGTGTTGAGCCACTTTCAACAAATAAATGGCACTTCATGGTGGGTGATGATGACTAATGAAAGGCATGTCAATGGGTTGGGTCGGGTTCGGGACAATTGATAGGACCTGTATCCTTTTTTAAAATTTGATTTTGACACGTACTCATTTATTCCATGGGTCTTAAAGTTTAATCTTAGATTTGAACCCATTAAATTTTTGTATTGGATCTAATGGTATAAATCATTGACTGGTATATCGTTTTTAGTCGGGCAAAAACAATAAACTAGTCTAAAAAAATACACCAAAATATAAGCACGGGGATTTTGACGTAGAAATCCAAATCGGGAGAAAACCACGGGCCTTTTTTGGCGGTACCTTGCCAACGGGGGATTTTATTAATATCGGGGGTGTGTACACGGTACATTATTTAGGTTGGGAAGCCATTAATGGAGTTTTTGAGCTCTTGAAGAAGAAGAAAAATACACACTATTAGGGCAATTAGGGCAACCCTCCTTTTATAGGGAAGGAGGAAAGAATATTCGGGGAATATTCTCTTATTATTCCATTTTATTAAACAGACTCGATTTGATTGTTTTTCGTAAATAATTGGGAAATGTGGGCCGGGCCACGTATTATTTCCCATCAAGAAGTCCTCCAGTTTTTTAAGTTGTGAGAATCATCAACTTAAAAAAGTAAACAAGTCATCCGAGTGCTATCTTCAGTCTTCTACTTTGGATTCTTGACCGGTTGATATTATTGCTAGTCCTCCGAGTCTTCATTAGTTCTCTAAGTTCTTGAATCAGAAGTTTTTTCTACAAAAAATAATATGTACAACAATTTTTTTGACCGGCCTATGCCGTGCTCAAAAAATTATTATTTTTACCAAGGAGCTCGGTGTTAGGGTGATTAAATTTCGCGCGAATAATTATTGTAACAAGAGCAATGTGAGTTCGATAAGGCAATGATGCTTCGAATAGTTACACGACACCGGAGTTAGTACGATGAATCGACGGTGCCTCAAATAGTTATTTCATCGATAACGATGTTAGTATGAATAAGTAACCGATAAAGTAGCTAATCAGTTTTAGCTCGGCTGACTGATGTAAATATCGTCATGTTTCGCGGAGACCATCTTCGATAAAAGTGCCTTAGACAGAGGGCTTAAATGAATCGGGCGTCCCCGATATGAGCTCAGCTCACTTTTTTGTTGAAACCGATGTGCAATCGGTGTACCCAATTCGATTGGGCTCAGCCTCATTAGAAAATGTGTGCAAGACCGGTGTTCGACTGGGCCACATATTTTCTTTATTATACTGAGTAAGACCGGTGTAGTAACCAGCGTGTGAGGCCACGCCTGTGTCTCAGTCTTCCTCTAAGATAATGCTGCTGGCTGGGCCAGATCAACATTGGAGAATTAACCATGTCGGATGGTTTCGAGCCCTCTCCAGGGCCCAAAATGCACCCTTCTTCCAGGGCCCCCTCTTCCGGGTGATTAAGTCTTTTAATGGTCCTTTGATGTTTACTATCTCGGGAAGGCTTTAGCTCACCCTCCCGTTCAAGTCTTCCCTAAGAAGGGGAAATCCGATCCGGTCGGAGTAGGATGCATTGCGGTGAACGATCCTTTTCTATTTCTTTTAATGGGCATCTTTTAGTCCCCAATCAGTTTGACGGTTTTGGCTGACTCCCCGATACCGGTCAAACCTCATGAGCCCGTGTAAGTACGGTTCGAACCCTCTTCCAGGTCTAGCCTTCTTGCAGGCATACCCCTTATCCGGGGCCCCTCTTCCGGATTTATATTTTTTTTATTATACTGAGCAAGATCAGTGTAGTAACCAGCGTGCCAGGTCCGGGCCTATGTCTCAGTCTTCCATAAAGATTTGTTAAAACAGAGTCGCGAGCTGTGCACCCAATCCAATTTTGCTGATTTTTTGTAAGACCTCGCACCACATTTTCACCATCCAAGATTCACTCTTTTTTAGTAGATATGGATAATGCTTGAAGGAATCAATAATGGCCCCACCATGTGGCTCCCTATTTTTGCTCCCCATGACTATTCGTACTTTTTGGCAAGTAAACACCCTTATTTGTTTGATTCTTCATAGATGAGAAGGAGACCCATCAACTCATGATATTGTATTGTCTTTATTTTTTTCGCCAATTGCCTTGTGCTCCTTTCATTTGTAATCTTCTTCTTGGAAAAAATCAATATGTGGAATCCAATGAGAGATGACTTGCCGTAGAATAGTGGTGCGGATGAAGTTAGATGCTACGGTCATTTCTGTCAGCGGCGAACAAGCCCCAAAACTAGCGCGGCAACGACGGATGTAGAAACAACCGTCAATTTGAATAGCAGCGACGTTGGTGGCTAGCTCCTGTAGTGGCAATCGTTGAATTCAGCGGCCTTGGCTGTAATTTTTGAGCAGCCATGGCGACTCTATTGTGGCTTCGGCAGAGCCATCTTCTTTCCAATTTCGATAGTAGCAGCAGTCTCATTGATCTCGATGTCGCATCGTCGCAGCGGTCCACTCCTGCAGCGACTGGAACAGTGGTGGTAGCAGAGGATTTTATTGGCGACTGCAAATCCGAGCCAAGTCCTATAGAGGTGGCACTGACTAACCTTCTGCATATGCTTTATCAAATCTAGAGCAAACAGCGGCAGACAACATTGCGGTGGCGGATGGAATTGAGGATAACAACATCGTCTACGGTGTCGATGCTTAACCGTCGGTATGGTGCACAATCCAACTCCTCCAATTGCGATGGTTACTGTGGACAAAACAGAGATGAAGCACCGTCCAAGTATGATTAAAGTGTGGGCAGAGACAAAAGGTTGAAGAATATGAGTACGTTAAGCTTCTGCTCATTCTGGAATCAACACTCTAGTGTTTTTTTGCATAAGTATTGAGGCCTTGAATACTGCATCTTGGACGGACAAAGGTTTTAGATTGAAGCTTCTCTCTTTTTTTTCTCTGATGAGGAAGATGGATGAATATAGTTACAACTTACATGGCTCTTTGTTCGGGTCCCACGGTCGGCGCCAAAATGATGGTGTAAATTATCGATCAGTATATCGTTTTTAGTCGGGCAAAAACGATAAACTAATCTAAAAAATACACCAAAATATAAACACAGAGATTTTGACGTGGAAACCCAAATCGGGAGAAAACCACAGGCCTTTTTTGGCGGTACCTTGCCAACGGGGGGAATTTTATTAATATCGGGGGGTGTGTACACGGTACATTATTTAGGTTGGGAAGCCATTAATGGAGCTTGTGAGAGCTCTTGAAGAAGAAGAAAAATATACACTATTCTAGAGAGAGAAAGGAAGTGGGCAGAGGAGAGTGTAAAAATTGGCCTCCCTTTAACAATTAGGGCAACCCTCCTTTTATAGGGAATGAGGAAAGAATATTCGGGGAATATTCTCTTATTATTCTATTTTATTAAACAGGCCCAGTTTGATTGTTCTTCGTAAATAATTGGGAAATGTGGGCCGAACCACGTATTATTTCCCATCAGGATCGGTATATGCATATTAAAAATCGACGTCTTTTATTTTTCTATAATTGAAAAACAATTAGTGAAAATACTATAAATGAAAAATATTTCATTCAATACAATTAAAAATAAGACTAGTACGTTGCTGCAACAAAAATCGGCCTTCTTTACTAAAAACCTTTTTTAAAAAATCTTAGATTCATAGTCGGTCTTCTTGTCACATTCATTTATTTTGCAAGAATGTTTTTTATAACATCACAGCTAATTCCAAACTATTTATTTTATACTATTGCATAAACCATTGTGTACATGCTTCTAATGTGGTGAAATAAATACAAATATATTTGGAAGTCACGCAACCAGTGTCAATTGGAAGTAGCAAAGAAGAGGAGTAGTGTTTTGTAATATTTAATATTATCTATTTATTTGACCAATACGCATTTTAAACGGGTCGGGACTACTCGTCCTATACCCGACCCTTTATTTTACTAAAATTACGGGTATAGATTTGGATACGGGTAAATCATATTTTTTATGCTTCTAAATCAGCTAAAAAATTACGAGTATTAACGTGGTCGAGTCTATACCTAACACATTGACAAGCTTAGGTGAGGTGACACATTTCAGTCAAACGGTGACAAGAGAATGGGTGGTATGTCGTGGAGTAATAAGTCATTGTTTTTAACAAGAATTATTTTTAGTTATCTATTTTTAATTTTTTGCCCCAAAATGTTTGTTACATTACGCAAAACGAAAAAAATTCAAATTTTCAAAATGAAGAAATTAAATTATAAAGTTACATCTAATGTCTTACTCATTCGTTCCAAAAATTTGTCACAATTTGACTTTTTAGTCAAATTATGTTACACTTTGACAATATTGTATATTTTGACCAAAAAATACTGTGATAATCTTTTTTAGACGGAAAAGTTTCTTTCTTTATAAAAAAAGTCACTCGAAAAATAAAAATAAAAAAGAAAATGAAAAAGGGGAGCAAAATTGCCTCGCACGTGCCATGAGAAGCAAGATAACACAGTGATTCCAAGTAACACATATCAAGGAGACTAGAAAAGTTAGAAAATACATTGAATCTCCTTTCTAGACCTATCAGGATTAGGACCAAGAATTAAATTAGGATTATCTTTCCTATTCACATGTTTATATATGTAGTAGGATTAGGATTATCCTCCGATGGGAAATAAGACTTGACCCAGTTCAAATTTCTCAAATAATTATGAAGATTTTTTGAACTCCCCAGTGTGTCACCCATCCTGGGACGACTGTTCCAACACGCTTAACTACAAAGTTCTTGAGTTAAAGAGTAACAAATGCTTCCTAAAACCAATTGGTAATAGGAAGGTGGACACTTACTATTTAACCACGTCTCTCTGCAGTCCCAGGTCGAGGTAGATTCCTATAGGGCACCCTCTACAGTTCACTACGGTAGCGTGGAGCCCCACTACTAAGCGGTGGATGGACAGGAGGGGCTTCGCAAGATA